GTCTTCAGCTGCTGTGACCAGTTCAGTCAGTGAGGATTTGTGAGTTTACCGTTTCACATCATTGGTAGCACTTAGTGATTCTTTGCATTGCTGTATTCCATCAGGTAACTTCAACACATGTTCACATTCTCCTACTGTATGATCATTCTCATTAATAAGTGTCATCTATTATATTATATTATATTATATTATATTATACTATATTATATTATATTATGTTATATTATGTTATATTATATTATATGATCAACATCACATTAGCATTCATCGTATAACATCACAGGACACTGCCATGGCACAGCATTCTTGTCTTGTTTGTACTTTCATTTCATTTTTGTACCATTTTCATTACTTAGATACCATCATACACACACCCAGTTCAGTGGTATGTACTGTCAAGTGTCCAAATGGCTACTGACCTGTAAAAAATTAGAAAATGCTGCATCATATTCCAGTGTCTCATCACAACTTGTGCAGTAGGCTACTCTCATACGGTGACAAAAGGAAAACATCACCACTGTCCGCTTTCTCTCTGTTCGAAGGGAACGCTGCCCTTGAAAATGGTTAAACTGTGTCGGAGGCAAAGACTGCCCCAACTCTTTTATAAACACATTTGATTGATGTCATTGTAAACAAAGTTAACAAGCCACCTTCAGTTGAACTTGAGCTCTAGCAGCAATGGAAGTCTGGCAACAAGCTGCAGCTTCAGCCGGCTGCCTCCTAAGCCACCTTTCACCTTTAGTAAACACAGAATAAAGTTTTATCCACAGAATCAGTAAAATTCATGTTTTTTTTTTCTGTGTTGTAACATTTAGTTTATCACTGGGTTAATTAACCCAGTTGATAAATTCACAGGACCGCAGACATGTACTTCCATCCAGCTTTCATCAGGAAAAGTTTGTCCAAACTTTTCTTCTTTTCTCTATCCTATCATAAAACTGTGACACCTCTGGGACGAAGAGGGGAACAGATGGTAAACCTTTGGTGAATGATGAAATTAGCTGGACTGCCCCGTCACACTGGAGACTGAGGGGTCTGTCTCACATTTCAGCTTCAGCGGTGGCTCTGCGCTGTCAGACGCAGACACGTTTGAGGACGACTGAGGAGGTGTGGTTGCATCGAAGCCCTTGTCCATCCTGCCGTCTCCGTTGACCCTCTCCTCGGCATGTCCTGGCGGGGACTCGTGTGTGCGCATGTGCTTGGCCAGGTGGTCGTTCCGCATAAAGACTCTGGGGCATAGTGCGCAGCTGAACTTCTTGGCCCCGGTGTGCGTCTGCAGGTGGCGTTGCAGTTCATCAGAGCGCGTGAATCTCTTGCCACAGAAGAGCCAGTTGCAGACAAACGGCCGGTCCCCGCTGTGCCATCGTAGGTGCGCCTTCAAATGGGAGGTTTTAGCATAGGCTTTGCCGCAGCCGGGGATGTGGCAGTTGTGCATGTGCTTCCTCCTGCTGTCGTCAGTGCTCTGGCCCAGCTGTTCAGCGTGGACGCAGTTAGGGCAGCGACACACGGCCTGGCCGGCACCTCTAGAAGAGGAGCGGCGCTGGGGCTTGGGCCGGGCTGAGACAGAGGTCTCCTGTGGTTCCTCCAGGGAGAACGGTTCTTGCTGCAACATTTCAGGGGCCAGTGGCTCCATCTTGAAGCCATCCTGGGGGAACAGGTGAGATGAATGTGAAGCTGGAGCATGTTGAGCTGGAGGCAGGGCGCACAGCTGTGGGTCAGAGCCGTAAGGCCCTAAAGAGGGCTGCAACCCCATGGAGCTCCCTGGACTCACTGAAGGCAAGCCTACACCCTGACCCGTCTGCAGGTCTATCCAGCTCCCCGGCTGGACATCTCTGTGGAGGTCCCACCAGGAGGGGATGTTCATGTCTTCTGAGCTGCCACTAGGTGGTGCTGTCCGTAACCAGGGCTCGTAAGGGTGGGCCATGTGAGCAGCTGGTGCAGGTGCAGGATTCTGGACGTGGTCAGCCACACACAGTGTTGTTCACTATCCTTTGGTTGAGGCTGAGAAGATTAGCACATGCTCAGTTGGTGATACATTGAAAAAACCTGCGGAAAGAAAGAACAGAAAATAGTTATCTCTTCAAATCTCTCTCATCTCTCTCTGTTAGATATCCTCAGTGACTTCACTGAAACAACATCTAACAACTTTGAAGTCTTGAGGTCATTTTTCTCAGTCTGAAAGGCTTTGAAGTTACTCAGCTCCTGGCCTAAATCCTCCTGTCTACAACATTTAAATAACCAACCCCGAGCACACCTCCTTCATCGCCATGGATACTGCAGTTCTCACGCTGCGTGGCCGTGGAGGCAGCAGAGAGGGGGAGACAGACGTGTCCAGGCAGAAGCCTGCCACATGCATCCGCTGCCAGGTACTTCCCATGGAGGACAGTCAAAGACAAGCGCAAAGAAAACAACATCATCGACTCCGTGCAGAGGCAGAGGAGCAGTGGGGGGAGATAAATGCTGGTGAGATGGGGGGAGGGCCGAGTGAGAGAGGGAGTGTTGACAGGAGAGCAGTTTGGTGAAGGAAGAAGTTCCAGGGAGGTATGGCTGCAGGCCAAAGTCTATTTGTACGTCTCTGAGGTTTGTGGAGATGAAACCTGGCAGACAGGAGAACCAGTTTTTTTATGAATCACACATGATTTACAACAACAGCCCTCCAGGCAAGTTACAAAAGGAGCCCCGTAAAACGCCCCGCCTCTTACACACTGGCGGCAGAAAGCATCAACAGTTGCAGACTGACGACATTCAGGAGCATGAGAATGGGAGTCCAACAATAACATAAGAACAATTGCTCTATTTATATAATTATGGGCACACGCTCTGTAACAGCATCCTGTCCCCAACACACTCCAGGTATTTTCACTTGTGCGCACTTCACCAGTTGGCCATCCCACGGGGGAGGAAGGGCTTGAGTTTCTAAAGGTGACACAAAGCTTGTTAACGCTCAATAAGTCTGTGGAAATTTTTTGACGAGAGGCTTCCAGCCTACCAGACTGGTGCTTGGCTCCAAACATGTCCTAGCCCCAAACAATCCTGTTGACTTCCACCACACCCCCATCCCCGAACGTCTACAATTATCTTTACAGCAGGAAACAGTAAACTAGTCTGAAGCTCGAGAGACTGGAATCTTAGTCTTGAGATCACTTGATGTGATGCCATATTTGACATAGCAAACTGCACAAGGTCGCCCAGAAACGAGAGGTCAAGTGTCAGGTATACATCCTGTCTGATACGTAGATCCATTAGAGGCGGGCAGAGTTTGCAGGTGGCTCAGCTCACAGGTTGTGTCACTGACGGTGAAGTAGATGGCAGTTTGTTAATACGGCAAACCAAGAGGGTTTAAGTGTCAAACCCACTCAGAGAGGCTTTCCAGTCGCAATGAAATCGTAAAGCAATTAGTTTGAAATTCTCTAATGAAAGGTCTGGTGTTAAAGGTCAAGCTGATTTATTTCATGTCGGCCTGGAGCCAGAACTACTGCTCTGTAATCTTTTGGGAATGTGACTCAGACGCACGGCAGAGTGGTCCCCCCCCCCCCCCCAACTCTGCTCGTACTGACACAACCGTAAACAAACCAGGACAGCAGCATCCTCTCCTGTTCGCTAAAGTGCTGGGAGCGCTTCGAGCTCCGAAGGGAAACAGCTGGCATAGAGGGGCCCCCTGGGGGGACGGCAACCTGGGAGGAGGAGGATGGTACAGAGCAATGACAGAGCACTGGTCATAAAACCTGCCCGACCAAGACCCGACAAAAAGCCCCCAGTTTACAAGTCTACAATCATGAAGATGCGCAAAGAAGGAGCGATGAGGAAGAAGGAACCCTATTTGTGATTTTTTAAATGACAACAGTACAATATGAATCCCAATATTTCCTAATATTTCCAAATTTGGAAAACCCACTAATTATTCTTTTCCGCCAGTGGCTGCCCCCTTTTCACAACTTCTAATCCGCTAGTTTATGTTTTCACATGAATATATTTTGAAGAGCATTTTCCAGTATAATTTCCAGGTCCATTTAAATCCTCAGTCTGTCCACCACAAGTCTCCCATCTCATCTTATCCCAGACATAGAGTAAGACAGTGATAACAGGCATGCTGACTGTCTGTGGACACTTTAAACAGACTAGTTTGGGTTAAATGGCATTTACAAGTAGTTTGTTTTAACCCGCTTGAAGTACAAGATGGAGTGGAGTGGAGCACATCAGTTCAGCAGGGGTCAGGTCGGTTGTCAGAAGAGTGAAACACGACGAGCTTCAAACACTCCTCTGTTAAAATCAAAACTTTCTGACCTTTGCTAAGTGCTATGATAAAGAGGAATGAAAGTGACTTTATATTTATAATGTGCTACAACTGGATTTAAACTACATTGTCATTTGCCCACCTGAGTGAAGGATTAAGTTTGTGACGTGCAGAGCTGGAAGGCTAATCTCTCTAAACGGTTTCTCTGCTCTTTAAGTCTAATTTGAGTGTGATCAAGTGCAGAGATAGGGTAGGTATGGATGACAGCTTTACATCCTCAGTGATTTAGGAATGTCTGTGAGATGCTGATTCAGACACAATTGCGTAAAGTGCCTCCTCCGCTGCATATTTTACTATAATTCATACAGCAGTTCTTGTGACAGCTGAGTGTTTTTTTATCATCCTCTTTCTTCAGAGTGGACAAAGTGCAAACATATATCTGTTTCAGATGTCATTTACAAAGTCGTCATTATCTACCGCTGTGCTTTAAGTCTGAATGCCGATTTTGACACTGACTTTTTTAGTGAAAATGCACAAAAACAGGCATCTTGTTCCTGACAGTGCTGACAGTCACACACTGTCCTGCAACGGAAACACCTCGAATACAATTTCATGTTTCAGTATTTATGTCTTAATGGTCAAAGACTTTAAATATCAACCATACAGACAGGATTTTATTCAAGGTGAGGTGTACAAAATCTGGCACCTGTTGTTTTGTATGCAAGTCAAAACATTTATTACTGTACTTTTATTAGTTCTTATAGTTCTATACTTTTATTGCTTTTTTTCATTTTATTTTACACTACACTTATTACTTTAAACTTCACTTCTGCAGCTATGAATATTGTCAAGATACATATATACACGGTGGAAGTTAAGTACATTTATGTGTGTTATGTGTGTGCACTGGAACTATGTACTGTAATTAGTACTATATATATACATATAACCCTAACCCACACACAAACACATACACACGCACACACACACACATAGACACACACACACACACACACACAGACACATAGACACACACACACACACACACACACACACACACAGATATATTTATTTATTTATTCATTTATTTATATAACTGGTACAGTCACTATTCAGATTAAAATTGTACATACAAAACGTGATCAGTTTACAAAATATGTATATTCATTGTTTTAGCTGAAACTAAGCTTGGTTGAGGTCACCTCAACCAATTACAGCGCTGAAGCACCATTTACATACTGTGAGTGCATTAGCTCTCTACTTTTATTAGTTCTTATAGTTCTATACTTTAATTGCTTATTTTCATTTTATTTTATTTTTTGACTAATTTGCTGACCTCATTTTGAATATTTCTTCTACCATTGCATATATACTGTGTATCTCAATAACAGCTGCGTATGAAATACTGATCACTCACCCCGGTTTAGATGTGGTATTTTTGAATGAAACCGTTCCTATACCACACACCTCATAGAAACTCTCGTCAAAACATATTCATTTAATGGACATTATCAAATCCTATGATGTGCGCTTTTTAATAACCGTGTACCATCAATGAATAATCAACCACTGAAACTACACTCTACCTGTGTATTTGCCTCTTATCTTCACTCTGGGAAATCTTTCATTACCCCCAGTTTTAGTAGGTATCACAGGGTCTCTGGGGTTTGTTCCTATAGGGAGCATGAAAAAGTTATAGTGGTCAGTGTAGTCAGTGTACTTCAAATAACCTATAATTCTCTAACAAGAAAAAAGAGGAGCAATAATGGCATTAGATCAGAAATCAAAATTAACTGCGATAACAAGCAGATTTTATTAATATTTCATAACAAATATGCAGGTGTGATTCCCCCCTAATTTGTTATCACTTTAAATGAAACATTATTTAAGCTAAGATTTTAAAATCTGAGTAATTGAAAGGCCACATCCCACTGAGACTGACCCTCCACACAAACAGCTCAGCAGAAAACTGCTAAACATAATCCTCACTTTGATGTTATTATACCAGAAAACCCTAGACATTATATTCATATATTCAATACATATCAAAAATTAAAGCTTTGCTTATAAAAAATGAATTACAATATTTAAAGGTTTACTTATTTTTTGTGATTTTTTTAAATATTTGACTCCAAGCTAAAGTAATTTTAATGAATATGTTGAATCTACTAAATGTTCTGTTTGTTTAGACTTGTTTTTAACTTGTTTTAAGCTGTAGGACGCGTCTACAATTGATAAATTATTGGGTAACCAAATATAGAGATTTGTGGTAATGTTAAAGATTTATGATCCAGATAACCTAATGTAAACTGATTCGGTAACACTGACAGTTGGTTGCAGTGATAGCAAATTAAAATCCTGACTTACCTGTTTGGCCTCGGAGCTGCTGCTGCTGTTATTTTCTTTTTGGAATAAATGAATTTAAACTTTGTCTCAGCTCAGCTCTACTGCTTCTTCCCTTCGTCGAAAAATGCCCAGAGAAAAATAATATCCTCATCATAATTCATCTGATTTTCTCTGTCGCAGACGGTCCAGGTGAGTGAGGCGCGCAGGTAAGCAGCATTGTGAGCAGTGACAGACTCTGTGATAGGCTTCGCGTCTTGAGTCTCTCCAGGCTCCGCCTCTGCTGCTGTGGATTCTCCCCCTTTGAAGATGCGCCCTCCGCGGCTGGAGGTGAGGAAACGGCCGACTGAGGGACAGCACGGGGATCAAAGCAACAGTAGTAGGCCCGTGTCAGAGCTGCCAGCAGTGCTGGAATATTACTAAGTTATATAAGTACTCAAGAACAGAAGGTCGATAAGTGGACCACAAAACCTGACGTACTTGTACTTTACTTCAGTGCTTCAGTTTTTGCCACTTCTGCTTCTGGTGCTCTGCACTTCAGAGGGAAATACTGTAGCTTCACCACATTGATTGTATAACCTGCCTGTTACTTTATACCAAGATCGTTCATACAAAACATATCATATAAACTTATTGCACTTATGGAAAAAACCAACCAAGAGTATAAAAATGGCTTCACCTCAGTCAGCTACAATAGCAAAATGCTATCTACACATTAATGTATCACCAATAATAGTCTGATAATAGGCCTATATACAACTCACAGGGTTCATTCTTTTGTAGCCTATTCTTCTAATTTCATACTTAAGTAACATTTTCAATGCAAGAGTTTTACTTGTAATGGGGCATTTTTACTGTGTGGTATTACTACGCCATTTTTTCCCAAACTGGGACCCATAGCCCCTCAAAAAAAGCTGTTGTTGTTTTAAAAGATTATTGCCAAAATTATAAATAATTCTTTCACCACTCCTATTTTCCCGTCTACAGTGCAGACGTGTGATTCTGGATGAGGTCTAACAACAACCACATTTCTGTAAAGTTTAAAATGAACAATAAAACAAAAAGATCCACAGAACAACATTTTAAATAGTGATGTAGATGTAAACAAAAGTGTGGCAGGGATCATGACGGAGCTCAGGAACTCTGCTGGACTCCGTGAGGACAGTGTTTCATTCTGTCAGGATGTACAGCCAGGTCTTTTATTTTATCAGTATGTACGGATAGATTCAGCAAATTCAGCAACTATTAGTTATAACAGCTTATGTGCATAACAGTTACTAACTTTGAAAATAATAGTTTGAAATAAAAATTATTTTCTCAAGGGTCACTTGCTAGCTTTTCCCACAGCTTTGCTGCACTCCACTCACTGAGGAAGACAAATTACACATTTTTGTGAAAGCACAGGTTCAGCTTTTCTTCTCCTTTTCCTCGTCGACACGAGGACATGATTTTTAGTCTGAAAACATATAACTTTAAACTTCATTTCTGCAGTGCCGTTCTTTCAAAAGTACAAACTGTTTCATCGTGATATCTTATGTCACACTTTGTCATAGTTATGGTGATGCACCAAATTAAGATACTTTTTTAACGCTGTACAGCGCTGGTGCAGGAACCTAATGGGTGTAGTGACTGCAGCCTGTGAATCAGATGGTTGAGACCTGGAAATCCTTTGATTGCGGACACTCCTGAGAGGTGGTTAAAACGCAGGCACAATACACAAATCTGAATATCTTACTTGGCAGAAAACAGTCACTTCAGTGTGCAACAGTTTATCATGATCATGATCTGGACCCTTCAGAGAAACAGCCTGTGTAGATCCCATGTGTGTAATATTACTGTTGATCTGCTATAAAAGGCTTCCACCAAATGTTGGATTTTTCACAGCTTGTGAATGTGTATCACACATTTAATAGTTTATAACATTATCTTCCTTTGAGGCTTTTTTTTTCTTTCTTTTTTTTTTTATTTTGCCTCCGCTCTGAGTTAATTCCTTTCCTGTTGCAGCATGTTGGTGGAGCAGCTTCAAATCAACTGACAAACACAGGCCACAGACAGGCCGGCGGGAAGTGACTTCCTACCCTCTCTGCTCCCTCTTTCTGAAGCGGCACTTTAGAAACACTGAGTTTGAACTGATTACAAGATGGTCATGTAATAGAACCACTGGGCGAACAGCAAATGTCGCCAAAAGTCCTGCTTCAGCACAGGGCTCGGTAGATTTATACACACCTCAGTTCACGAAAGAGTGAGCACGCTAATCAGGAAATGTCGTTTCCATGAGCACAAACTTGACCAGCAGTGTTTTACTCTGAAATACCTGCAAGGATTTCACACACAGAAAAATTTTAATCGAAACTTGTTGCCAGCAAAGTATAATTGAAATTTGTATAATTAGTATAATATGTCAGTGTTTCACATCTCTCAGTGTAACGTACTTGTGCACTTAGAGGAGATCAGGCCGCTGAATTGAAGACCACACACCACGTCTAAATGGTGTTTACCGACATTTTGAAATAGTCAAGCATATTTCCTCATGAATACAATGCAGCACAATCAGAGAGAGACTGCTTAATAACATTTAATTATGGTGCAATTTCAAGTAGGGGCTTACAAATTCTGCTAATGATTTAAATGTGTTTAGATAGCTTGTTCGACATTTTTTATTTCTGTCTCTGCTATCCTATCTTTTTTTCTGTATAAGAGTTTGTGCTGTGTGTACATGAAAATGTTTGTAGTTCTTTAAAACACTCGCAAAGTACTGACATTAACTCTTGTCATCAGTCCAGCCAAACCCTGTGAATTTCAGTGTGGTTAAAGAACTGATCCTGTTTATGACTGCAGTACATTTGACCTTTAAACACAATGTGCTAAGCTCAACCATGCACTGCTTTGGCACTTTATATAAAGACATAAATGCGCTATACAGCTTTTCCACAAATACAAAATGGTGCAGGGTGTGTGCTTTCAGATGTCAATCAAACTGCAATTTTGCCAACATTTGCCAACAGCCAAATTCAATTTTGAAAATAAATAAATACCAACAGAAGCATTTTTCCAAGAGTTTTGTGAGCTGCTGCTGCTGCTGGAACATCGCTGCACCATAAACTTTTTGTTTTCCTTTGAGTTTTTCCTGTTGGAAGCAACTAATCCTTTTTAATTGTGAGTTGCATTGCAGAGCAAGAGTATCAAATACAAATACAGCATACTTTTTTTTTTTTTTCTTTGCATTTTGCATTTTGTCATATGTGCAGTATGAATTTGTATGTAGTGTGCAACATAGACACATCATTAAAGGGCTGGAACAGGGCAAAAGCTTGATCTATTTGAAAAGGATTATTTAATGACTGAACTGAACAAGCATCATCAGCTCAGTGGAGGCAGAACATGAGAGGTTTATGAAGTGAGTGGACCATAAGTTACATTTTTTCTGCCTTAAACAAACAAGACATAACATGTTAATGAGTGAGCTTTAAAGGTACTAGTAGGTGGATTTCCCCAGTCTTTGTGCGAATCTAAGATAACCAGCTCCTGGAGCTATCTTTATATTTAACAGACAGACATGAGAGTGGTAGTAACCTATTTAACTCTTGACAAGAAAACATATTTCCCAAAATGCTCAACTGTTTCTGGTTAGAAATGGTTCTGACATGATATATTCCTGTAACTATTTCCCCATGTTCTACACACCCCATACATACCACATCACTACTTGTTAGTATCTATTGTATTTTTAATTACAGTAATTAGTCAGGAACAAGTTTTTGGAGCTTTTGTTTTGGTTTTCCCTAGAGGTTAAAATAGTTTACGCCAGAGATCAGTCTGAACTCTGGAGCTCACAGTTTGTGTGTGAGTTTTATTTCTGTGTGTACAACTTGGGATTTTTCTTAAAGGACATGTGTTTTGTATACAACATTTGCATCATATAAAGTTGGTTCTGATTCTGATTCACTGGCCTGTGACTGGTTTGACTTGCCTGTTGTCCCACGGGAACCATGCCGGTGTCCCAGACAAATCCTCCTGCCAACATGCCAGCCTCCACAGAGCTAGGCCAGCTAAAGCCTCACTTCCCCTCCAGCAGCAGAAAAAAATCCAAACAAAGTAAACAGTAAGCACCCAGTAGTCAGCTTCCTTATCCTTGTTAATTATTCAAAATCCCGAAGGAGAGACCAGCCCACAGTTGTCTTCTGAGTCACTTTTTTTTTTTTCTCATACAGGCACTCACTCACCATAACAGCCCCCCCCTCTCCTCCAGTCTCCCCTTTCAACTTCAAACCCAGTCATTTCTGCAAGCAGTGCTTTGATTGTACCAAACACCTGTATTTTTCGAGGAGAGACTTCCTTGCGAGCCCCCGCCTCCCATCTTTGATTGTTAAACAGCAGTGGCGCCGTCATTACTGTCTGAGCGACTGATGCCGCCCAGCTTCCCCTCCCATCTTCCACCTCTGCCTTTTAACCGGAACTTTAATTGCTCAGAGAAAATTTGGATTGCTTTATTTTATCTAATTTTCAAACCCCCCTTTTGTGTGTGTGTGTGTGTGTGTAGCTGGATTTATCAGGTGAAGTGGAGATGATCAAAGATTTCCTAACAGCCATGAACTGAGCACTAACTGAGAAATGTCCTCAGGTTTGTTATAACATGTGAGACGTTTTTTAAATTTACAGCATAAAGTTGGTTGTAGCCAGATGGACAAAGACACCCAACATTTTTTTCTAGCTTACCAGTAATCCCCCAGGAAGACAGACAGACAGACACGTACAAACAACACGCACACACACACACACACACACACACACACACACACACACACACACACACAGAGAGAGAGAGACACACACCTTTGCAGCAGTAATACCATGCTTTATTAGATGGCCTCTCCTGCCATCCTGTCTCCCCCCTCAGATTAATATCCTCTGGGCTTCTCACCAGCTGTTTCCGTCCCTTAACACCCCTCATCTTCCTCCAGCCGGCCCTCCGCTTCACATGGCAGGGCTTACAAACTGGGCCACAAAGCCTGCGTGGCTTTAAGAGAGGTTCTCAGCTTAGCACGGTGTGTGTGTGTGTGTGTGTGTGTGTGTGCACGCAGTGTTGCAGAATGGCAGCTCTCTTGTCCAC